TGACACCAGCTCTTAAAACTTTAGGATTCCAGAACTGCAAAATGAGGGCATGTTATTTTATCAGATTGACAACACAAGAGTAAAAACGCAAAACAGAGAGTGCCTATTATCAGGAAGACAGCATGGTCCATTGACCAAAGCACTGGACTTCAGGTCAAGAGACTCGGGTCCTATACCTGACTCTTGATAGGGACCTTGGATAAATCACTTCCCATATCTATGCTTTTTAAAAATCCCTCTTTGTCTATCATGGCTATTTAGCTTGCAAGCTTTTCAGAACAGGGAATGCCTTAGTACATGGCTGTTTAGCACAATTTGATTTTGATTGAGCATGCTAAGCACTGCTGGAACAGAAGTAACTACTCAAATTGAAAGATGAGGCTTCAGCATTTTACAATCATTCCAGTCAGTGGAGAGGCATTCACACGCGTGCTTTCTCAGTGTGATCCGATGTGTAGTCAGGGGCACATTCTACTGTATAAACACTGAATGGTTAACTTTACCATAGCTGCAAAGTGTGCATGTGACATGCTTCTGGCTACAGCTGGTGCAAAATGTTACAAGCCTACTGCATAATGGTGCAGTGCATAACAGTCAGCAGATTACCTGTCACTGCTCTGCTCAGTGAATGACATTGCTCGTGCTCTCTCTCACACATGGCATAAGAGCTGACATTGCACTGTTTCATCAGACTAGACCTCCTACTGAGAATCAGACTGAACCATAAAATGCATCTTCACCTAGAAAAAAAAAAAGGTGTATTACATTTTTCAAAGTTGTTATATTCATATACTTCAAAGGTAATTTACTGAAGTCACCATTAAATTAACTAAATAGCTGGGGAAATACTAAAACATATTGCTGATTTTTAAGAATGTCATATCATTATATATTTCAAAAGAGGGGGAGAGGGAGTTGGATATAACCTGACCAATATAATTCAGCTGTCAAGAGGAAATGTATCTATAGTTTCTAGAAAGATATTTAAAGACAACTAACATTCATTCCCAAAAGATTTGCTACTCTTTATAAGAGGCAGTGAGTCAAATCCCTTTAGGCAAACTGCAGTTTTTCTTTAAAGTATGATAGGTGGTAAGAAAAGTGATTTTTGACAAATAGCATGTCAGTATTTTCATACTTATTCTGCATCTGACATAAAATTTACTCAATTTCCAAGTCCAAAGAAGAGCTGAGCCAGCATTGAAATTTCAGACAGGTTTTTGAAAATCAAGCAGTGTTCTGCCTTGCTTCATACATCATCTCCAAGAATGAAGATTCTGGGATCAGAAGTTAGTTGGCAATTTTGTTGATTCATGAGACAGGATAGCAAACAGTTTGCTTTTCAACAGCTATATTGGCTCTGCAGAGCTGGCAGTAATAAAACAGATTCTTTTGTTCCAGTACAACAAGCCAGTATGAATCAGAAGATACACAAGACACAGGCAGCAGCAAGAAGTCACTTTTTTCTTTTCAAAAACTGCACTTTACGATCAAGATTTACAACTGCCTGTGCCTACATATAGGCCAGCGATTCTCCGTATAAGTCAGAACCTCAGCTGGGGTGCAGTTATCAGCCAAATAATTAATTCAGTTGCAGATGTGAGGTTTGCAACTGAAAGTTGGGCCAGAAACCTAGAAGTGCAATCAAAAGGGGCTTGCTAGCAGAAGTCTGAAACTGCTGATATAAACCTTAACTACACCCTAGTATTCAGGAAGAAAAATACAGCAGCTTCATTAGTGCCTCTGCTTAACCTACAGGAAGGCTTGTATCAACAACAGGTTTCGATCCTTTGAAAGAAAGATTGATGTTCACTCCTTTAAAAGAAAGAATGAACACTGGACCTGGATACCAGAGAAAGTTCAGCTGACTTAGGCCAGGCAGCTCAGTGCTTAGCTGGATTGCATCACAAACTTCCTTGAATCAGGTCATGTGTTCCAGGTCTCTATCTGTAAAATGAAGATGACAATACTTCTGCTGACAGCTGTGTATGAACAGAAACTCTTCAGAGCAGGAATCATTTCTTTGCAGACAGTACCTAGCACAGCTGCACTTCAATCTCAGCTCCACCTATTGTAATACAATTAGCAGTGAGCGGCAGGATGTCCTGCTCCAGACAAGCATCAGTGGAGACTATGGGTACATACAAGTGTTCAAAAGATCTGAATGAGCTTTACTGTTTCTTGTTCTCCTGGTAGAAAAACCTACCAATATCGCTACCAGATAGCCTGCACGGCTGATAGCACTCAGCATCCTTTGCAAGGTTTCCTGTCTGTCTGGAAAAAGCAGTTTCAGCACAGCTTAGGTGAGTCTGCTTGGGGCCAGGCACTGATGGTATGGGTGCTGGCAGACTGGGTCCTGTCACGTGAGGTTAGTCTGGGGGCTCTAGAAATGACACAGGGTCTGGGGGCTCTCAGAGCAACAGGGCTGGGTCCCCAGTGGAGATTAAGTTAGGGAGCTCTGAGATTTGAGTCAGGCCAATACGAGTCCAGTGCTAGTGGATCAGTTTCTCCTACCTGCTCAGGGTCAGAGGGTGGTGGGGAGTGGGGCTGTCAGCTGCACATCCCCATGGCTGTGGACAGAGGCTAGGCTTTCCTAGCTCCAAAGCTAACAGGGGGAGGGGTTTACTCTGTGCTTTGCTGGAGCCACTAAGTCAGCCAAGTCTGTCCATTTTGTAAGTTAAGTACCATAAACACACTGTTCCAGGCAGCAGTCCACTCAAACATGCCGCGTTGCTCCACAAGTGCTTCCTACCAAACCGAAGGCCGTGTAATTGCATTCAGACAAATTCATAGTGCAGACAGTGCTAATAAGCTTAGCCATTGCATCTGGCTGGGGAGGTAGCCTGCATCAAGCAATGTGTTCAGCTATGCAGAATCAAACTACTCAGTCTTGTTATATGCAGGACCAGCAGCAATATTCATGTGCAAAGGCTATATAAACAAGGGACAATCTCTAACCCTTCCTACCTGTAGACAGACTCCATCACTACAATGATTTTCAATACCTGAGGCAAACAGAAAAACCTAGTTTAAAACCATTTATGTAAAAGCAGACTGCTAAATAAACCCCAGTGAAGCTTGTTTCAATGCATCCAGGTTCATAATTCTGTTTTATTAGCTACGGTTTTAATACTGTCTATAGGCCAGAGTACAAATCTCCTTCAACATGCCCCAACAGCAGAATGCACTAGGGCTGTGCGAAACAGCACTGTTCCGTTCCGACTTGAGTTTTGAGGTTTGGACGGAACAGCATTTTGTTTCGAATTTCATTTAGAGTCAAAACAGCTGTTCCATTTCACTTTGTCTCACCATTGCACTGGAGAAAGGAACTCAGCCCAGTTGGGCTGACTTCCCATCCCCAGCATGATCGTAGGGCTGGGGAGGGGAACTGAGTGATTGGGCTCAGTTCTCTTCCCCAGCCCGATCGCAGTGCTTGGGAGGGGAACCGAGCCCAGGCTCAGTTCCCTTCCCCTGCGTTGTGATCGTCTTCCCGCAGCCTGGCAGTGGGAGACTGGGAGAGCCAGGGCTGCGCTCCCGGCTGCTGCTGGGAGCACAGACCTAGTTCTTCCCTGTCTCCCACCACCTCCCTGCTGGCTTCGAAACTCAAAACGTTTTGAAACTTTCAAAATGTTTCAACTAGCTTCGTTTTGTTTTGAGGCTGTTTCGAAGTTCTTTGTTTCAATTTTGCTGTTTCGACCTCGAAATGAGTCAAAACAGTGTCAAATCGAAACGGAGAAATTTTGCACAGCCCTAGCATGCACTATAAAATAACCAATTTACCTATTTTAATAGGCATATCATCAGGCCAAAATCTTATCTAGCATAAAACTAGACAAATTTTAAGGTCAACTTTAAAACAGCAAATTTCTTTGCTGAAACCTGCAATCTTTGCTCCCAGAAAGTTGTAGATTGCAAACTGATGTTCTATATAAGCAGAACTAGGGCTTCTAAAATACTAACCTATCGTTTCAAAATAGGTTGCAGGCAATTCCAACAAGCCAACCTCACCTGCTTGTGGAGCTGAGGTATCTGCCCTGCATGAAGTCCCGGACTAAATCTGTCCTGTGGGACCAAATGAATTGGATGCCCCTGTTATAGTTTACAGGCATAAAATCCATTTATGAGCCAATCAAACAGACAACCTTAAGAAAACTGGAAGAATGTAGATTTTCTGACAATCAGCTGTAGGGAATTCTAACACATTTATTAGTAAGTCCTTCCCATATGACTTGCAAATTATAAGTGCTCAGCAGAGCAGACAACTACTGCGCTTCCTCCCCTAATGATAACATCACATTTTAATAGAATCTAAGAGAAAAAAAATACCAGAAATTTACTGAAGAAACATATTTTTTTATGTAAAGTAACATTCACATCACAGTAGAAGTGAATCTGGCCAAATGCCTTCATAATTTTTCCAAAGCACATTGTAATACATACACTAACAAGCTATGAAATGTCAAATCAAACTGAAACTACCCATGTCAATGTAAATGAACAAGTTAATGCATACTGCCTTGTGTTTACTGTTGCAGTTTAGTTACAAAAAACAGTAGCTCACAATAGTTCATTAGTGAAGTCTGTATTCACACTTGCTTATGCACAAAGCAAACTGCATAAGACCTGATTTTAGTAAGCAGTGTTTGCTTTATCCATAATAAATGATAGATTAAGATACCTCAACTCCTATCTAAGGCCATGCTTTTCAAAATTTTACCCATTTTACATGTTAAAAAAAAGGAACATTCCCAGAAGAGTTCTATGCAGGATGCAGAAATCGTCCTAGAATTACCAGTAATATTGGTTACACAAAAGGAATCCATTGTCTTTTCTCTTCCCTGCCAGCCCAGGCCAGGTCCCACAGGCAGGATTGCTGTGGTTCTTAACTGTTCTGTCAAAAATGCATGCAAATAATTCATTTCCATTTAGTTGTTCAAATACATATGGGAGTTATACATTTTATTCTGCAGCTAAACTTATAAAATATATTATGTAAAAAGGATTAGCACTAAGTTTTATTATAAGCAACCCAAAATATGAACACAAGAACTTCACATCACAACCCACACTCCCACTGCATAGCAATCATTACAATCACATGGCTTAAAGTCATTTTATATCTGATAGCATACAAGGTGAAAAACTTTAGGAGACATTAAAGAACACTGGAAAAAAATATCACAGACATTTAAATACAAGCCAAATACGAAAGGAAAAAAAAAAAGATTTAGTAAGAAAGCAAACAGTGATTACAACAGATATACAAATATGTAATTCATAGAGATGTAGCCAACAGACATTTTAAACAACTTTACATCCAAATCATGCCTTTTAGGAAGTAAAGTCACTAGTTTTGCTATTAGAGAAGCACAATGGCAAAATTAGTTGTCATTTGTACACATGCAGAAGTAGCAACAAACAGAATTAATCTTTTTAAAATTAAGAAAAAGTGCCTTAAATTGGATGCTATTTTATTAGGAATCATTAATTACACACTCACAGGTATAGGAGTAGAATTAATTTGGATGCTGACTTGTATTTTGTTATGAAATAAAGTATTTTAGGACCACTCGCACTCCTAATTGACTTAGGGCCACAAATCCTGGGCTTTCAATGAGACCAGTCCTAAATAATATAACTTTCTGAAAAACCTAGCAAGGAGTTTAAAATTAGAATCCTCAGCTGTATTCAGATACCCAATAGTCAAAAGGGCTGAGGCACACTACCAGATGTCGCTGGTCTCAGGAAAATCAGGGAAAGGCAGTAATACAGATTTAGGAGGCTAACATTAGATCTTGTTTTTCAAAATCTTACTAATTTACAGCTTGCACACAAGTGGTAACTTTTTACCCCCTTTGAAGTTTTTACATAAATGAGTAAGTGTAGTCTAAGTTCTCATATTACAAAATATGCTTAACTGCAAAATACAGCAGTCGCTAGTATGCTGAACTATAAATAATTTTAAAAAGCAGCTCTGTCAAGTGAAAACAGTACATCTTCTCCCACTATCCTTTCTGTGTTCGTTCTTAGTTAATTTGTTAAAAAATTCAGCAATTCACCATGATCTCTTAAGTCTTTCATTTAAAGTAGAAAACTTTTGTGTTCATTTCTGAGCATTCTGGCATTTAAAGCTGTGGTGTCCAAGTGTCTAAAAGGCTCAACATTCCCTTTAGAGCCTCACTAATGCTGAAGAAAGAGAATCACATTGTGACAGGCAACAGCTGAAATGACATCACACAATCTATCATCCAGCTGGAGGGGGCCATCCAGACTTTTCCTTGACGAATTTTATCTGGTTTATATTTAGAAGACACATCATAGATTATATACTGAGTACAAAAGCTCTGGTCAGAACTCGGTTCTGCATGGTAGGCTACTGTGTTGATGCTCTGTGTCACATCACTATCTGGCTTTGGCTGCCTGATGAGGATTTGTCCACCTCCTGCTTTAACCAGTTCTGTAAGGTCATTCTTCTGATGACAGGTGAAAGTTCCCAGAAAATAGAAGTAGCAACCATCAAATAACTTAGGCAGCTAAGGGGGGGAAAAAAAGATAAAACAGTTAAAAGTAAGTACAGCAGTTCACAGTTCAGCATATGGTGTAGAACTGAATAACCAATATCAGTTAGAGTGGTGCAAGGAAAAATGAGGTAAGTTGTACTAGAAATTATTATACTAGTCTCTAGAAAGCTCAATATGCTTCTAACCAAGAAAAGGCAGTCACTGAAAAGTTAGATTGTAAGCTTCTTATAGCAAGGACCCTCTCTGCTTTTTCTGCATAAATGGTACAATGGGGTCCTGATCCATGAATGGGATTCCCAGGTGCTACCACAATGTAACTAATACTACTACACAAGAACACCAATCTACCAAACCCCAGTGATCTCCCAGTGGAAAAGAGATAGTGAACTAAGACTGAATAAATAATTTCTATATATATTTTCAGCTTTCAGATGGGAAGTAACTCCAAATAGGAACTGAAAAAGGAATGGAATCTTAGCAGAAGCTACAGCCCTTTTGTTTTATGTAGTTTTTAAATGTAGTGTAGACATCTCTTTGACACTTTAGGAAGGTTTACAGAAATGCAGGGCAATATAATCCGTCACTGCTACCTCACGGATTCTGGCAACTGTCTCAGTCATCTGTTCAAATGATCAGATATCTGAACACCTGTTAAATCAATTTAATCTGCATGTACAGCAAAGACAAGTATATATAACAAATACTACTAAAAATAGTTTTAAGAGATAACTACCAGTTTTATTCTGTTGAGTCTGCCTTTCTGTGGACCACCAGAAATTTCATACTTCTCCTCTTCTTCTCGAACTCTGCTTTGCAGACATGCTTTCACCCCTGGAATGAAAACCAAAGGCAATTGTTATTACTGCCAGTTTAGAAGAGAATTTTAAGAATTTAAGACTGTACTCCAAAGACTTGTTTAAATTTACAGAGACTATTTGCAGGGCATGACATGAAACAGAAATCTTTACAGCATCAAGAACTAAATGACAGTGCTAGTTAATTTTTTCAAAAATGTTTGCCTTGCATTTAAGGTTTTATGATTCATGTTTGTGAAAGACACGAGATAGCTATAATATATAACAGCAGGATTTTATTTTCTAAGTGCTGTCAAACTCTCCCTTTAATGTGGCCTTTCCTTCCAAATATAAAACTGATACACTTTTGTCTTCCTGAGTCTACAAGCAGCCTGCAAACAACATTTAGGGAATATGAACTCTTTCCTCTCCCACTGGGCACTGACGACACTTTAAAATGTGAGGATAAACTCAACTGCTGATCATTTGACAGTGGGACAGCACACTTGCTCTAGTTGTACTTGAAATGAAGCCAGTAAAATGTTGGTTCTATATTGCATTACTCATACAAGCAACCATATTCTGCTGCCATTTTAAAGAAAAGGCAGTTAGTAGGTATACATGGAATTGGAACTAAAAGGTCAAATTGGCTTAATTCTGGTTCTTTCAAATGTTACCTTTTGAAAGAACTTTGATTAACATTTGGAAGCAGCCAAAGTGTGGTGGTTCAGTGCAGTTCACAACACTATCTTCTATCCAAGCCACTTATCCCTACACAAATCTCTCCACCTTCCCACAATCCCAAACTAACAAAACTCAAAAGAAAGAGAGGTAGAAGAGTTCAGCTCTACATAAACAGCATTACCTTTAAGAGAGAAGAGAAAGAGTTCATATAAAATCTACAGGGTAATTTGCTACTGTGAACGGATATTACATGAAGGTGCTTAAATGAAGGGGATGGGTGGTGTTTTTAAGCTCTTAGGTAGTTAAGATTTCCAGTCTGCGCTGACCCTGGAGAATCCTGAAAGCCTGACTAAACTGCCAAAAGACCACTGTCTTTCCTTTTTGAAATCATCATTCTGGTTTTGTGTCATTTTAATTTTCAAAAAGTTAATAAAAATCCAACAACTTTATTGTTTATGGGCAGCAAATAATAAATAAGACAAATAACACTTATTGGATGTGTCCAGACAAACTTGGCTGTGTGGTATGTAGTGTCGCAAACATATCTGCAGCGCCACATACCGCACAGTCAGGTGCTGTCTGCATTGCAAGGGTGCACTGCCCATGCGTGCACTGCTCCTTTTTTTTTTTTTTGGAATCTTTTTTTGACCCCTGGATACCCAGGGATAAAAAAATCCTGTGGGGAAAAAAAACGGAGCAGCGCAAGCTTGGGCAGAGTGCACTGCTGAAAAGCGGAGCTGGGCTGCCCGGAGCTGTGCTGCAGCTGTCGACCAGGCTCCACTTGGCAGGATCACCGGGAGGCTCCCACAACCCCAGGTAAGGCTGCTAGGGCCAGCACAGTGCTGGCCCCAGCCTCCCCTACTACCCCCGGGGTAATTTGCCATGTGCCAAAGCATGCATGGCACGGGCATTCTCCAGGGACAAAGTAGCTGTGGCACAAAATGCACTGCTGAAAAACAGATTGACAAGTGCACATCTTTCCTAGTGAAGTTATTAATAAATCCTCGTTTGGACTATTGTCCCCAGAAAACCAAACATCCACGCTTGTCTGGACTGGCCACCTATGTGACTGCAAATCTGCCCTCTGATCTATGGGTAATTAAAAAGGTAAAAAGTTCTTCAGGCCTAGTTCAGTGTCACATTATTATGTTTTCTATATTCCAGCATGAATCCCAATGACTGCTAGGCTCAATTCTTTTGGTAGATTGCTGTTAAATTTTGTACAAAATTAAAAGAAGGTGCACAGCTAGTTATTCTCTGGAAAAGAAAAATTACATACATATTTACTTGTGGCAGAAAATTTCTAAAGGTCTGAGAACTGTAAAATTACATTTTTTAAAGCTCTTTGAAGTTACAGCAAAACCCAGATACTTTGCAAGGGCGAATCCCCAGCTCTCCCATTAAGGTGAGGGTTTGTGAAGTAACTGGAGCCACAGCAAAGAGCTGTGCAGGACAGCTGATGAGCTCTAGTTAAGTGGAGAATAAGCACTAACTGAGGTAAAAGTCGCATGAAACAGATAGGTGGCTCATCCTTAATTTGGCAACAAGCTGCAAGTTAAGCAGGTTGTGTACCACCAATATACAAGTGGTCTGTCTACTGTAAAAACCACTGTATTTTAAGATTTCCTTCTATCATTGCATCTTTCCTCTGCTTTAAGGTCTGGGTTCTCTCTCCCCCTTGCACAAGTGCAATAATGCCAGCATGGAGGGGAAAGGCACTAATCTGTCTGGACTAAAAAAAACCCACAACATGTTTCTTCAATAACAACACATCAAGTGCACTGTTTTACTTATAACCATGTTACAAGCTCTTATACAGACAAGCCCCGCTTAAGGCTGTTTCGCGTTGCGCTATTTCACTAAAACGCTCATTTTAAATTGATACCCGATTTCACTTGAAACTTGCTGAGTGCTGTTATAACGCTCACAGTCACCATTTTGCATCATTAAAAACACTTGCTGTTGCCATCTTGGGTTGTCAAATGCTTTTGGTTTCACTTAGCACTCTTAATTGTTTCCTGAAAAAATGAGTGTTAAGTGGGGGTTGCCTGTATTATCCCATATAAATGAAAAGGGGTTTCATTTAAAAATATGTGATTTGATTTTTGGAAGAACTACATATAAACACCTCCCAGAAAAGCATCTTCTCCTCTTAGTTACTTAGAGCTTCTGGAAAAAGACATCAATTATTATTTAAGCATCAGCTTATATCAGGGGTAGGCAATTATTTCAGCTGGAAGACTGCTTAACAAGTTTAGGTGAGCTGTCCATGGCCACAAGGCTAGCCCCACCCCTTGACAGGTGTTCCACCCCCTGGCTGCTATCTTGGGATCAGAAGTCCTGCCCCCAAGCCCCTGACCGCTGCCACCAGAAGTCCCTCCCCGTGTCCCCACAAGTACTCCTTTTGGGAAGGGGTTTTGCCGTCTTGGAACTGGAAAAAAAACCAAAAAACAAATACACACACACACACACACTAAAAATCAAACATTGACAATAACATATTTTAATTTTATTTAAAAGAATATGTTGTCCTTATTTGTATGTGTATGCACTGCATATATAGAGGTGACAGCATACCTCAAAATGAGGTCTTACTCTTGTATATTGTAGGGGCTGTGGAGGGGTTGTAGGGCTTGTGGGGGGGTTGTGTGTGCACGTGTAGGTGTGTGTGTATGTGGAAAAAGGTATGGGGCTATATGTGGATGTGGGGATGTGTGTGTGTAGGTGGGTATGGGCTTTGTGGAGGGAGAGGGTGGGCGTGGCGTGGGCGTAGTAGAGGGTAGGTGCATGTATGGTGGACTGTATACACGTAGTAGTGAGCAGGGCTCCCCCCAGAGGTGCAAGGGGGTAGGCGTGTGTGTGGGAGGAGGTATAGGGGAGGGTGTGGGTGGGTGCAGGTGTTTGTGGGGTGATTGTGTGGGGGAGGGTGTTAGGGGTTTGTGGGGGAGGATTTGTGGGTATGGTGGGGTGTGCATGGCAGCCCCCTACGTGCACCATCCTGAGTTAGTCAGCACCTGCTCCTGCTCTGCAAAAGTCCAGAGCCCTCGTGCCCCGTGGTGCCTCCCCACCACTGGCAACACCATGCAGCCCAGGCCCCACCCTGCACCCACTGTAGACTCACCCCAGTAGGAACAGATCACAGGGAGCCCAAGCACACAGCCCTGCCCTGGCCCACCCCATACCTGCTCTGTAATACCCACCTGTGGCATGTCCTGCCTCCCCCTGGGCATGCAGCAGGGCTGGGGAGATTCCGCAGCTGGACTGCCTTCCTAGGTAACCCAGACAGCGGTGGCTCCTTCTGGCTGCCACCCTCACTGGCCCCAGTCCTGAGGTACCGGTAGGGACCCAGACACATAGCCCTGACCCAGCCCGTCCCATGCCTGTGCCAAACTTGCTTGCGCTGAGCAGTGGTGGCGACTGGGCAGAAACTGTTGCTTGGCACAGAGGAAAATTAGTCCCTCCCCCTCACTGCTGCTGGGTGCTTCCTGCTGTAGCTGCCTGGAGCTTGCACTGGGCTGCCCTGTGTCTGCTCTGCTTTGCCACTGCTGGGCAGCCTGGAGGCAGCAGTGAGAGCAACAGAGACACAGACAGCCCGGCGCAGGCTCTGGGTGGCTGCAGCATGAAGCGCCTGGTAGCTGTGAGGGAGAGGGGCTGCTTTCCTCCTGCACCACACAACAGTTTCTGCCCAGCTGGCACCGCTGCTCAGCGCAGACAAGTCCAGAGCAGGCATGGGGCAGGCTGGGTCGGGGCTGTGTGTGCAGGTCCCCAGTTGGTACCATGGTGCTGGGGCCAGCGGCGGCAGCAGCTGGAAGGAACTGCCACTGCCTGGGCTGCCTACAAAGGTAGTCCAGCCGCAGAGCCACCCCAGTCCCACTGTGTGCCCAGGGGGCAGCAGAACATGCCAAGGCTGGATGGTGCCTGGGCCAGGTGAGACCAAGAGACCCGCTGTGGGCTGGACAAAGGCCCTCTGTGGGCTGGATGTGGCCCTCGGGCTGTATTTTGCCTTCCCCTGGCTTACATTTTCCATAAAGTTGCTTGGTCAGAAAAACAGATTGACAACTGCACATCTTCCCTAGTGAAGTTATTAATAAATCCTCATTTGGACTATTGTCAGAAGCTGTGGAACACAAGTCTGTTGGAGAACAAGCTATATTTTAAGCTGCTAGCAAAGTTCAGCTTCTAAGATCTTTGCTGAGGAAGGTGAACTGACACAAGCTGGATACATCGCAACCCGAGATTTTAATTCTGACAGTGGTAGATGGAACAAATTTGACAAAATGAATAAGGGAAACTTAAGATGTCTTGTTTGAGAGTTACTTTCCTGAGGATAGCTAAAACTTTAAATCATGAAAG